ATATTCTTGTTGCTCGATGTACGAGCAGGAGCATTTGTCAGTTTGCGTTGGTGTCGAGATTGGTTCACTTTCGGTTGAACCGGAGAGTGACGTACCTGAATCATTTGCCAGAGCAATGCACGAACGCTTAACCGTTTCATTGGTTAGGCTACTGATTTTGCGCTTTGAATGTGTGTGGCCCGGTCGAGGAGTGTCTAAGTGGACAAGTGTGGTTGGAAGTAGCAGATTAAGAACTATCAATACTTGTTGTTGTTGTCATGAATTTCGCAACAACAAGAAGTATTGATAGTTCCTTAAGTTGCCGCAGATCCTATTTAGGCGCTACCGCTATTCACTGTCACGTCAAATACATTGGTTCTTATGGGAGAGAAGCACAGGTTGTATGCAAAAAAAATTGTAATGACTACAGCTCATGTTACGTTTGGCAATTCATGCAACGTTCTTCAAAAAAACACTTTTTAATATTACATTCTTTATGTATTCCCATTTTCATGCTCATCGTCACAACTATACTAAACTGTAGACTAGACGTCTTTCTTTTTTGAATGAACTTTGTTTTAAAAAAATGCTGAAATTTTGGATAGTTTTACGATGTCCAGCATAGTTTCTTAACTGAAAGGATATAGGATAGAGGACCACAACTTTTACACTGTAGTAACGAAAGAATGTATGGTTCAACACATGAAGGTCAGATTTTAGTTGCTGGTGAGCACAAATAAACCTCATATTTCGTTTTGATGAGTTGGTGGATCCAGTGAAAAAAAAAGTTTTTTAAATTTTTTTGTCAGTGGTGTTAGAAAAATGGTTGAAAATGGCCTCTTATGATGTTTTTGTCTTCGACAACTACCATTTTCTCGTCGAAAAAATATGGGTCCCGGAACACTTGAACACCGGTTTTCCTATAAATTTGCTCTAAAATCGACATTTCTTCATAAAACTATCGATCGATTGAAAGATTGATACAAAATCACATTCATGGTATAGAAAACCCTCGTACAGTGACCTACTACGGGTCTATATACACCCAATTTTTGACGTAAAATCGATTTCTAATATCAACTTACACATGTTTATATGATTTTAGCGTCGACAATTGCGATTGCTTCAAAACAAATGAGCGAATGACGCTCATGAGCTTCGTTTCCATGGCTAAATCAACTCTTGGAGCCAACATTTCTGCCTTTGTCACCTTTAATCTTCTAGTATGATCCCTTACGAACATTTTGAATACCGACATGACCAAGTCGAGTGATGTTTTCACATATTTCTAGCCTCATATTCGGTTGGTTCGACTTCAACTCTCAAAAAATCGACTTTTCTTCAAATGTTCAGAGACCCATATTTTTTTGTATTATTTTGTAAACATCGTAAGAGGCCATTTTCGACCATTTTTCTAACACCACTGACAAAAAATTTGAAAAACTTTTTTTTCCACTGAATCCACCAACTCATCAAAACGAAATAAGAGGTTTATCTGGGCTCGCCAGCAACTAAAATCTGACCTTTATGTGTTGAACCGTATATTTCAAAAGTGTAAAATGTTACTACAGTGTTATCTATCTAGAATATATTCTAGGTTGCTATTACAAAATATATTGATTTGTGGAAAAAAGCGCCTGGAATATGTTGAAATTGCACCTGTCTAATACATAACTGTCAAATTCTCTCATATTCAGCGGTTCAAGAAAGACATGTCCATCCAGGGCTTAAGAATCGCACAGAGTGAACCCTGTGAGTAGTGCAATGCATCACAATATCGTGTGCGCTACACGCACACGAACAAATGACGAACAGTTCACAAGTTCTCAAATACAAATGAGTTTACCACTGTCCGTTTAATGTGCGCTCAAATACTCACAGGAGACAAAATAAAATGTTTGTGCCTGTATTTCGGCTATGTTGAACATACTACTACTACTTCTTCTTATTTTTTTCTTCGACCGAACGATGATCCGCACAAAGCAGAGGAGAAGTAAGTGAGCAGTGTGCGCACACAACTCAGTTGTTATGAGAAGACCATCGCACACGAGCGCTGTGGCTCTCACTGAAATGAGTTGTACTGTGAACTGAATGTGCGATTCTTAAGCCCTGTGTCCATCTTCTTAAAAGGATTTTCTTTCCGAAATTCATCGAGTAGCGTAATATTTTTTTTTAAAGTACAACAGATTTTCATGCACGGATAAATTTGAAACCTAACAACACTGAATATCGAAAATGTACCTTCATTTCCAGTTAGTTGTCAACAGCTGAATGAAGTTTGGAACAAAATGAACAATTGAAGTGAAGCCATCAAGATTTTGCGCGCGTAGAAATGACCAATTTTTGCTCTGAAAATATTCATCTTGTTTTTCTAAGCTTTGATTTTTATTTCGCTTTTAATTTGTATCGTTTTGAAATCACGACCTCATTTGTAGGGTTTTCGATTAAGACGATTAATACGTTGACAACTTCAAGCTCAAATAGCACATGTCAGAAAAGCACATGATATATTGAATTGCTCAACTTTTCATTTATCAATGACGTTTTAGTTGCAAATGGCGTGAATCATTATTGTGAAACTTCAGAAATTTCAAATGTGAATTTATAAACAAATTCCTTCCTGAAATCTTCGAATTGAAATTGAAAAGTCATCCAAATTAGATACTGTAATTATAAACTCTAAAATATATGATATTGGGAATTATTAAAAAAACAGTAAATACCAAGTCTTTTTGTCATTTACAACATGTTCAAGGTTGAAAAAATATTACAACAAAGATATTTTTTAGCATGTGTGATCTATCTAGAAAACAATTTCGTTTGAATAAAAGTATTGTGGCAATGTATTGAACACCTCAGTTCCGTCTTGACAAATTCCTATATTAATTTGAAACATGGCAAAAATTCATTTCCAGTTCTTCATTTTAAAAAATACAGAAAATACTTCGTAATGCTGAAATATTAATGTATTTGAATTTAATTTTCGGGTTGATTGAGTTATCAATATTTTTCGTTGCAGTTTACCCACGCAGTAATACGAGTGAATTAGCTGGTGGGATTTCACAGCTCGATTAACACTACAAATTATAATATTAAAAATATAACCACTGGATAAATAAAAATGTCTCGAAATAGAACGAGGAAGGGCAAAGGTAAATACTTTGAATAAAATGAATAATATAAACAGGAATATAGAACGATATTATTCCATATACTTAGCTCGCGCAATTTTAGATCCTCACTCAGACAACGAATCAATAAATGATAGCATATACTCAAATGGGTCATTGGACGAAGACAACAATGGTTACCAAGATGATTCGCAACTAGTGACAACAAGTGAAAAGTACGAGGAGAAATTACTTCAATCAATTGAAAATGCTTCAGAGAAGTCTGCGCAGACACGTGTTCAAGCCCTTCAAATTATTACCGAAATACTTCAACATCGACATATACCAGATTTCCTTGAAGATCGCAAATTAACTATTATGGACATTGTGGAGAAAAGTGTCCGTCGTGGGAAAGTTGCTGAACAGGAATGTGCATTAAGATTAGCAACACTTCTGATAATACAGCTTGGTGGAGAGGATAATATATCTTCTACACTATGTCAAATATTTTCAACAATAGTGCAGAATCGAACATCGTCATACTCAGTTAGAGCTTCGTCTTGTACGGCATTGGCCATGTTACACTTTTTGAATAACAATGATATCGGAAACATTGTGGGGACAATGCAACAATTTGAGCAAATATTTGCTGGAAGCTATTTGAAAGGAGATCGTTCGGCTCCGTCAGTGAGTGAAGATGCTGCACAGCTACATGTTGCTGCATTAGGTGGCTATGGCTTATTGGCTACTTTAATACCTCCTGGGGACTTTTGTTCTTACGTCAAGAATGGTACCATTTTACCGTAAGTTTTCCATTCATAAAATCGTGAAAGAAGATAGAATATTCCATTGTTACACTTTTCAAATTTCGCATCATGATATATAAGAAAGCTTCGATTCATAATTGGTATAAATTTTCTTTTATGTCTAAAACAACGAAAATACATGTATATTATTGTGATTATCATTTGTTTACAAACTAGATCAATGAAAAATTTAATCGGGTTGCTTCAATCCCCACACGTTGACGTTCGTATGGCTTGCGGAGAGGTTATCGCTTTAGGTACTTTTTTTTAATGATAAATAATATTATGGCAGCATTTGCGGTTATACTTTATTAAAGTAACTTTAATCATTAATATAAATTTGTAGTATTGGAATGCGGCCGTGCTTTTGATGATAAATTTTTGAATGAATATCTTTCGGAGTTGATAGAAATAACAAATAACCTTGCAAAAGATTCGCAAAAGTTTCGAGCTAAGAAAGAGCGAAAAGCACAAAGAGCTACATTCCGTGATGTTCTCCGCTATTTGGAAGTAAGTTGAAATGAAGATAGACGATTTTGTTGGAAATACAATTTTAATTCATATTTTCTAAATTGGGTTAAAAGGAAGATATTACACCAGAATCGGAAATCCGTTTTGGGAAGGAAACTCTCGACTTGTGCACATGGTCGATCAACGTTCAATATGAGAAATTGTGTGACATCATCGGTCCTGGCATCACCACACATTTAACGGAAAATGAATTTCTACGCGATGTTCTCCAGCTTGGTGCAAAAGTTGTCAATGCAAATGTTTCTGCAACAAATAGTAAACAGTCGAAAATGGAACGTCACTTACTTAATGCTGCCGCATTCAAAGCACGCACATTGTCATTGAAGAAGAATAGAGATAAACGTTCAGATTTCTAACTAAATTTTGAATGTAGTAAAATATAAATTTGTTTATTCTTAAGGAGATGATGCGTTTATTTGTATGTGCGTGTGCAATAAACATCAATTGACATAATAAAATGAGTGATAGTACTGTTGTTCAAATAAATCAAAATCCATAAGCGTACTTTATTTAATCACGAAAATTTGTGGTGCTGGTGGAAAAATACAGTAATACCCCCCTCAAACTCGAAACAAGTACTACAACACATTCCACATTTCCGATGAAATTGACGCAGCTGAATGTTCATTTTATTTGCTCAAAATTATTTTTGGTATCAAATAATAATCATTCATATTGATGATATGTATCATTTAATTATTAGCTTCCATTTAATAGCCTGTGCTGTATTGTAGTTTGCTGGCAGTAGGATCAGAATCATTTTGAAAATTAATTCGAACGTGACCAGTTGTAAAGTTCGTCGTGAATATGAAGTTGAAAAGGGAGAGATTGTGTTATTTGTTTGTTTGCATTAATTTTTATTGAAAGCGGTTTCATATTCTATTCAAAATCGATTTAGAACAGTTTTCGTCTGCATTTATAGCCCCTAAACTTCGAACCGATCGAAAAAAGTAGAAATATTGAATGATGTTGGTTTATATGGATCGTCAAAAACTTGTTGAATGAATTGAGACAATTCATGAATCTGAGCTATTACGGCGACGGCTATTACGGCGTGGTACCGGAGAACGGGAGCGACGTCTGGAATTTCTGCGTCGTGGTGGTGATCTTCCTCCTCTTCTGAACCTTTGTGGCGACCGTCTCCACCCACGTCGAACAGGTGACATTCGACGCATTGGAAGTCTCGGCTTAGGTAATAGGATCGGTGCCACTGTAACTTCCTGCCCGTCGATTTGTCCACCGTCCATGTGTTTCATAGCATTTTCTGCATCTTCAGGGTTTGTGTATTCAATGTATGCAAATCCACGGCCCAACTTAGGATGGAAACGATCCAGGGGGAATTCGATGAACTTAATGGTTCCTGGTGTGTATATATGTACATAAAACAATTACTTTTTTATTTTCTTTATCAAAATCGAGAAAATATCATTCTCAGTTAAAGGTGGCAAAGGGACAAAATTTGATCGTCCATCCGTCCTTTTATTCATTTGGGACAAACGGACATTTGTCCCAATGTCCCATTTCAAATTAGGACAAACGGACATCTTGTCCTGATGTCCCATTGCTAAAAAGGACAAATGGACCAATTTCCAAAATGATGTATAACACTTATGAAGTGATGTAAGTCATTTTAAAAATTTGTCCATTTGTCCTAATTTGAAATGGAACATTAGGATAAATGTCCGTTTGTCCCTTTTGGCAATGGGACATCGGGACAAGATGTCCGTTTGTCCTTATTTGAAACGGGACATTAGGACAAATGTCCGTTTGTCCTTTTTAGCAATGGGACATCAGGACAAGATGTCCGTTTGTCCTAATTTGAAATGGGACATTGGGACAAATGTCCGTTTGTCCTAAATCAATAAAAGGACGGACGGACACGAAATGTTCGTCCTCTGTCCGTCCGTTTGCCACCTTTATTCTCAGTGCTATATACCATAATTGCTGAAAATTTCATGAACATGATCCTTGGTGACATTACGGGTGAGTCGACCCAAGTGAATGCGGGGACCAATTTTATTTGACTTTGGTGTTGGTGAACGATCACGCTTTTTGCGTACAGATCTAGATCTGGAACGACTGCGAGAGTGAGATGAACGGGAAGCCGATAGACCCTTCTGCCTTTTCAAATCCTTGTCGGTACTTTTGCGAAGTCTTTCTTTTGATCTGGGTCTATCCTTCGAACCTTCAAAATTTGTTTTTTACAGTTTTAAACATAGCTAATGCAAACAATATCGAAGTAAGTATTAAATATTAAGTACCATTGCTTCGCACAGAACCACTGCGACTTCGATTGGATGTAACACGTTTATCGCGTCGATTGTCACCACTACTTGACGATGATGACGAACTGGAACTCGATGAGGATGATGAACTCGAAGAGCTCGAACGTGACCCAGACGATGAGCTGCTATCCGTCGAGCTTTGATAAAGATTATATTTCAATATTACTGTTTGTCACAATCGTTCTAAGTTTTCAATACAATTGTGTGAAATAAAGAACAAACATAAATCAATCCGTTTACCTTCCACTACTGCTTGATACAGATCCACGTCGTTTATTTTCACGAGACCGAATAGTATTGCGAGGTCTTTCCTTGTCTTTTGATTTTACTGAAGATGGTGACTCTGACCGTATACGATTGGCCCTTGAAAAAAAAAACTATTATTGAAGCGAAAAAAAGACAAATAATTGTGAACTTACATGTTGTTTGTTCGTGGCAACAAATTCGACGTAACGAACAAATTGAAATTCAGTAATTTACTTTTGAATCAATGAATCTCTTTTATTTGGATTTTTACCACATATATTTCTCTCAAAGTTTCTGGCGTCTGGTCTCACAATTTTTTACTAATGGCCGGTTTTCCACACACATATATATGAAATCGTTTGTATACCAATATATATATGAAATAGCCCGAATCGTTTCACCGAAATGTCAAACATGACATCTGGACTTTGCGAAAGAATTATATACTTTACAAACAAGCCTCATTCGAAAACAGAATTCCAAATTGATTTCGTTCATTTTGGTGGAATATTTACGACTCAAAATGATATAAAAAAAATTCATTGATTTCGCAATGCGAAAATTGTGTCTTAGGCTTTTGTCATACAAAAACCATTTCCATTGACACCAATTACTTAACAATTGTTTGACACATCACACTTGTAAATTGACAGCAAGTCAATTTCTCTTTATCAACATTCGTACACCACCAGTTTCCTCACATCTAATTATCTTTATTATTTCTATCATTTAGAACCCAAACAAAAATGGATTTAACTCAGTTATTCAAAGCAAGTGTGAAAACGGTACGTTTACGTAATAAATCGGCAACATTTACAGATAAAACAAGAATACTAAAACATAAGAGCCGAGATGAATTTTCGATTAAAGCAAATGACATCCGATATCAAATAACACAGCTTCGTGATCTATTATTTGAGAATAGATCTGCTTATATGCGGTTTGGAATTCATCTTAAGTCATCAACGCAAATGTCTGATGTAGAAAGGAATATAATTGATGAGGAATCTGACAAAATAGTTTCACTCTGCAACAAATATTTAAACGATTTGAAAGCCGAGTGCCTTAAAGATAGAGTCCGTTCAAAACGACAAGTCGTTGAGCATCAATTGGCAATCATAGACCTATTATCGGGATTTTTGAAAGACATATCCCGGATGCACAATGAGCAAAAAGAAATTCGTATTCAACACGAATTGGAAACGTATAAGCTTTTGAAACTGGAATCAAACATTTGTGTAATGCGCCACACCAATAAGAATACAAAGAAAAATGATGTGAATTTTGATCAATCGCAAATCGCATCTATAACGCGAAGAAAACAAAATAAAAGTGATTCAGAAAAAGAGCCTTACGCCAAGAGCAAGAATATCAAAACTCTAAACACAAGCCAATCGGATGTTGCAATTGACGAAGACCAAGGGGATAAATTTGCCAGTAGCTATGATAACGTGAGCTCTGATGATATTCAAATGTTGGAGTCTGAGAACATACAATTACTCAACGATATCAGAGGCATATCAGATGAAGTGGATAGAATCGGAGAAAATGTCGTTCGAATCGCAAAGCTACAAAATGAATTTACAGAAAAAGTAAGTTCATTTTGCTATCAAATTTCGAGAGTTTCTTATTTGAAAATATTTCCTCTTTTAGGTCACTGTGCAGAAGGATGACATTGAACGGATTGGAAACGTTGTTGTTGGTACCACTGAAAATATCAAAGATGCAAATGAACAAATAAAACAAGCAATTCAACGTAATGCTGGGTTACGGGTTTGGGTGCTTTTCTTCTTGATTGTCATGTCTTTTGCATTGTTATTCCTAGATTGGTATAATGATTGAACAATGGATTTAAATAAAAGTATATTTTTTATTATTACTTCAAAAGACAACTAACCGAAGAATTGTTATTAATCTGAAAAGTTAAGAGTCCCATAAATTCATATGGAATATAACGATGAAAATATACACATTCAATTCGATACTTACTTAAAGTACTATTCAATGTTATTTATATCGTGATAGATACTTTTAACAAAGTATTAAGTACAGTTTTGTGCGACATTTTGTTGAAAAAAAAACATTGACATTTCAAAGCACATTTTCGAATAGAATTACTTTTATGCAACATTATCCGCGGAGTTTTTCATATTCATTTATAATACGTGCAAAAACAAAGAAGAATAATGGGAGAAGATTACTTAAGTCAACCAATTAATATCGGTTCCGGTGGTATGTGATTATTTAAAATTTACTTTTACTACCTAATGCTTTTTAACAAATAATAATTTTTCATAGATGACAACACTTTACATTCACAATCGAATCGACAACAAAAATCAACATTTACATCATTTTCCCCATATTTGAATTATGATCCTCGCATATTGCAACAATCGCAACCGGAATTCATATTTCCTGAAGGTGCCTCCAAAAACCGTGGGCGCTTTGAATTTGCTTTTTCAGAGATTGGCTCAGCAGTGATAGTAAGTGCAATTTAAAATTTCATTGGTTTATCATTTTTTTTTTCATCGAGAATCTTTCTAACACGGGAATTGGTTGACCAGTTTTAAAAATTGATTTAACTTAGTTATTCCGGAAATCATCAGGATAACAAACATAACACGCATACAAAAACATAAAAGTCGAGATGAATTTACAATTAACGCAATTTGCAATTCACCAATCCTATGATTCGTTTTACTGGATAAAATTAATGAAAATTATTGAGCAACAATTGAATAACGACGTTTTTTCTCACAAAGATTGGTGCTGGCTTGGGAGGTTCAGTCGGACTCTATAATGGCATTGTGGCAACAAATCTATCCAAACAAACAGGAAAACTTCGTCGAACTCAGTAAGAAAACACAATTCATCTTATATTGAATGTATTTTCAATTGTCATTTAAATTCTTTAATTTGTTTTTAATCCTGCATAGACTTTTGAATCATGTCATGAAGCAAGGTTCAGCGACTGCAAACACGTTGGGATCAATAACAGTTATTTATTCAGCATTTGGTGTTTTACTTCAGTATATGCGTGGCAAAGATGACGGAACAAATACGATGTTAGCAGGCGTAGCAACAGGTTTATGTTACAAATCAACAGCCGGCTTAAAACGGTGTTGCATTGGAGGGGGTGTAGGACTTGCTATATCTGGATTATATTGCACATATAATTATTTCACAGCACTCAATGAAAAGAACAAATACCATAGTCTTCTGTAATTTTAGTTAATAAGCAAAACGCAACGAAAAAATCGTCTTGTCTTTTCTTTTCTTTAATAGTCAATAAAATGCAAGCTTAGGACAAAATGAAGACAGTATTTGTATAGAAATAATGCTTTTGAGAAATGGTAAATGGATTAATAATAACCGACGATTCCACACCAAGTGTAACAAAAGTTGCAGATGACGTCTCCGATTTCGCTCAAACTTGGTGTATAAACTTCTTATGGCCAAAAACTCGCAAAGCCAAAAAAATTAGGGTGACCTTCCCCACCTGATGAAAAGTTAGGGTGACCCATATATTGAAAAAAATCTTTTTTGACGTGGAATTTTTTTTTCGATATTTTTGGTTTAAAAGTCGGCCCACCTCAAATTCTTGAGTTTTTCGATATTCCCTAACTACCCGCCACCTCATATTTCTTCAGAAAAATATTCGGTGTGGTCACCATTTACCATTTTTTCATGGTTTTTAGACTACATAATTTTTTTTTCACACCGAATAGGTGGTCTGGCGCTGGTGATGTGTTCTGAGAAAATGCTTACCAGGTTGGTGTCATTTTCCCCTTTGGAAGGGCAAAGGAGCCTCAAGAAGTCGAAAAATCACCAAAAAATCACTATTTCAGGGCAAAAACAGGGCAGAAACCCGCTTTTAGCCCCAAATCTCTATAATATTCGGAAACCGCGTAGAAAATTCTACTTACGCGTGGAACATTCCAACTGCATTGAACCACCTCTTCTGCCCCAAATCGAGGTCGGCAGTTTGAAAAACCATACTCCTGCAAGTATGCAACCATTTTTAATTGCTTCTAAGCCACCAACGCAGAAGCGGTGTGTTCCTTAAATGTAGCGCTTGATGTCTAGTTTCTTTTGGCGTAATGTTTCATTTATATGGTTCAAATTTGGCATTAGGGAGGCTATTATTGAAGAAGAAGGTGAAAAAATCGCACAATCTCACCACAACTGTTCATTGAACAGTGTTCAAATCAAGGCACTGGACCTCATTTTTGGCCACAAACGATTGCATTTTCGAATTCTTCGTCAAAAATTAGCCTAAGAATGGTCAATCTAAGATGCTTTTTGAACCGTACCATTACTTCAAATATAACTCGGGAGATCGAGTGTCCAAATATACTGAAATAAAAAGAATTACATTGGTAATCCCGAACTTTTCCGTACCGTTGTCCTGCGTTGTCTGTAGGTACTTTTGATTATTTTTTGTGAATTTTCTTGAAATACAGGCAGTGAAAATATAATAATAAAAATGAAGTGAAACATCGGCCACTTTAACACTATGATTGTTCTTGGGGCACCCAGGGCCCCCAGCGAACTGTAAAGTTGAATAAAAGTACTAAACAGTGTATAAACCAACCGGAGTTAAGTCTCATTGTATAGATTGAACATTTCTCTACACGAATGAAAAAAAAACATATGCATATGTGTGAGTATGTGTAAAATACAGCCTGCCGCAAAACTTGTTACGCTGTTGTTTTTGGGGGACCACAGGGCCCCATGGCTATTTTATATTATAACTGGACTATGATAAGAGATAACGACTTGATGTCTGCGGTGAAGTTGTAGTACTCAAGCTGTTCTACAACTTTGCCCAAGACACCAAGTCTTTATCTCTTATCAGTTTCGCGGAATACGCGAGAAACCGCAGAAAACCGCGAAAAAACGCGTTTTTTTCCTTATCATTTTTCACGGAACTGATAAGAGATAACGAGATGGTGTCAAAGGCAAAGTTGTAGTTCTGGTCGAGAACTACAATTATTCTGATTCATTATTCCGTTATCTCTTATCAATTACGCGAGAAACCGCAAAAAAATGCGAAAAAACGCGTTTTTTTCCTTATCGTTTTTTCACGGAACTGATAAGAGTTAACGAAATAATGAATCGGAACAGTTGTAGTACTCAACCAGAAATACAACTTTGCCTTAGACGCCATCTCGTTATCTCTTATCAGTTCCGTGAAAAATGATAAGGAAAAAACGCGTTTTTTTGCGATTTTCTGCGGTTTCTCGCGTATTCCATGAAACTGATAAAAGATAACGACTTGGTAACTTCGGCAAAGTTGTAGAGCAGCTTGAGTACTACAACTTCACCACAGACATCAAGTCGTTATCTCTTATCAGTTACGCGAAAAAACGCGAAATATTCGAGTTTTTGATAATCATTTTTCGCGAAACTGATAAGAGATAACGATTTCATGTCTATGGTGAACTTGTAGTACTCAAGCTGCTCTACATTTCTGTCGAAGAGGCAAGTCTCTTACTTCTTATCATCTTCACTAAAACGATGTGGGAAAATTTTGCGATTTTCGCGTTTTTTCGCGTTTTTCGCGGAACTGATAAGAGATAAGCAATATTTGTTACACTTAAATTATAGCAAACTTTGAGTATTACAACTTTGCTGCAGATACTAATTTGTTATCTCTTATCACAGTCCAGATTTCATATGAAGTATCTTGGGGGCCCTGGAGTCCCCCAAGAACAGTAATATGTTGCAAATATGAAGAACAGTCATAGTGTTAACTAAAACTTCGACAATTTTGTATGGGAGGTACCCGTTAATCGATTCTCATTGGCTTTAAACTTTCTGAGGTTTCATTTTTTGGAGAAAAAATAAGATTCTGAAAGTTTCACGTTGATCGTATTTGCAGAAGTTTGGTTTTGGGCCCTCAATTTTTTCCAAGAAAATTTCGACAAAAATTGAGGACGAAAAATCAAACTTCTGCAAATGCGATCAATATGAAACTTTCAGAATCTTATTTTTTTTTTCAAAAAATGAAACCTCAGAAAGTTTGAAGCCAATCAGAATCGATTAACGGGTACCTCCCATACAAAATTGTCCAAAAATCGGTAATTTTAGTAAAAATTTCAAGAAATTTGTATGGGAGGTACCCGTAAATCGATTCCGATTGGTTTCAAACTTTCAGAATCTTATTTTTCTCCCAAAAAATGAATTCCCAGAAAGTTTGAAGCCAATCGGAGTCGATTTAAAGGTACCTCCCATACAAAAGTGTCAATTTTTTGAGGTTTTTCTTAGGGCAAGTACCCCAGGGTCAAATCGAAAATGGGTCATCTTCGAACTTAAACTAAGTTTATTGGATACAAAACTTTTGGGACTTTCAGATTTGGATTATCTCAATTATTTTTTGAGTTATCGTGTTTACAAACAGCTACGACGACGACAACGACAGCGACGACGACGGCACACGAACGGAAAAGTGTCTCAAAAAGTGGTTTTCTACGCGTTTCATGAGTTTTTATGATAATCTAAGCTAATTTTGCGAAAAAAGTTTTCGGGACCAATTCCTATACTTTACCTTGACACGTTGTGTACGGAAAAGTAATAAGATGTTAGCATGTGGTTGAACTTTTTAATCTGCAGCATCAATATGAGTATCATTTGAAGTCTTGATTCAATTTTAAACAGGTCATTCTTAGGCTAATTTTCGACGAAGAATTCGAAAATGCAATCGTTTGTGGCCAGAAATGAGGTCCAGTGCCTTGATTTGAACAGTTGTGGTGAGATTGTGCGATTTTTTCACCTTCTTCTTCAATAATAGCCTCCCTAATGCCAAATTTGAACCATATAAATGAAACATTACGCCAAAAGAAACTAGACATCAAGCGCTACATTTAAGGAACACACCGCTTCTGCGTTGGTGGCTTAGAAGCAATTAAAAATGGTTGCATACTTGCAGGAGTATGGTTTTTCAAACTGCCGACCTCGATTTGGGGCAGAAGAGGTGGTTCAATGCAGTTGGAATGTTCCACGCGTAAGTAGAATTTTCTACGCGGTTTCCGAATATTATAGAGATTTGGGGCTAAAAGCGGGTTTCTGCCCTGTTTTTGCCCTGAAATAGTGATTTTTTGGTGATTTTTCGACTTCTTGAGGCTCCTTTGCCCTTCCAAAGGGGAAAGCAATACCAACCATTGGTATGTTTAGATTTGTTGGAGTCTGATGAGCATTTTCTCAGAACACATCACCAGCGCCAGACCACCTATTCGGTGTGAAAAAAAATTATGTAATCGAAAAACCATGAAAAAATGGTAAATGGTGACCACACCGAATATTTTTCTGAAGAAATATGAGGTGGCGGATAGTTAAGGAATATTGAAAAAGTCAAGAATTTGAGGTGGGCCGACTTTTAAGCCAAAAAAATCGAAAAAAAAATTCCACATTTAGGTCACCCTAACTTTTCATCAGGTGGGGAAGGTCACCCTAATTTTTTGGCTTTGCGAGTTTTTGGCCATAAGAAGTTTATACACCAATTTTGAGCGAAATCGGAGAGGTCACCTTTAACTTTTGTTACACTTGGTGTGGAATCGTCGTATTATAAAAAACGGCGGATATCTAGAAATGAGTTTGATGTATATGGAAATATACGGCTAATTTTTCAACGAATGTGTACAAAATACAGTATTCGCGATTTTTCAAGTTCTTAGTTTATTTGTTCGTCTCGCTTGTGCAACATTTATAAAAAAAACACCGCACCAGAGGATAAATGATGCACATGATGATAACATTGCCAAGTTCAAACACCAAGAAGTATCTATGCGGTCGATTCTTCTTCTGTCGAAGCTGACATCAGAGAATAGGTAGTCCATGAAGTCGAAAACAGCGATGCAAGAGATCCTTCCTTGTACAGCAGCAACTAATGGCCCTGTGGCGTGCATGTACTTGATGAGCTCGTTGCGGTATTGGCGGCAAGATTGCCATGCTCCGTCGATATAAATTATGGAATGTACTAGCGTGTAAAGGACCATAAAACCCGATACAAATGATGCGGGGATCCAGTAGGACGGTGATATTTCATCGTCATCAATTTCGGATCTTGTTGTCATGATGATCATTTCGCCCGATCTGTAAATTAAAAAATTAAATGACAAATAAAAATACCCACAGCCAACATACACTGCAGATGTTAATTCTCACCGCTGTCGTACTGACTGTCTACTGGTCCTACGATTGCTATTGGATGACATACAAATACGCCAAACATGGTAGCTTCCAAATATTATGGATGCGGCGATAGAAATAAACAATCCAAACGTAGCAAAGTGACAATAGGCCACATGCCCACCAGTGAAATATGTTATTGTCGTTACACCATTCAAAATGCAACCACAATTTTTTTCAACGCAAGTGTCTAATACATATTTCCAGTGGTTCCACGCCACAGCAGAAGTGACACTACACACAAACCCGAATACAATAATCAGCGGATAAAAATACGAGAGAAACTTTTCACTTTTCATAGGATCCATTTTTTTTATTCAAATATTTGTTTATTTTTTTCTCTTTATGCGCAAATATATGTTTTTATTCCGAATTTTAGTTCAATTTACAAGATCGTGTTATTTAATCAACAACCAAGCAAATGTTATTCACGAAAAAGGCGTTGCACTAATGTAAGTAATTATATACGGAATATGTCTAAAAGATCTTGTATATGTGTAAGTATACCTGTACAAATGTATGAATATGTGAATAAATATATCCGAATGTATACATATGTGAATATACTTGTTCGAACGTACGAATGCATGAATGTGAGCACAATACACAAACATCAAAGTACAAATACATTTGAACTGCCAATAAAGTTGTTTGTGTCCATAATGAGGCAATGTATTGTGACAGGTAAACAATAAAGTTTGGATGCACAACACATATATAGAAAATGTGTTTTTTTTTGTTAACTGCCAGAGAAGCGAAATAACAAATCTACGTGCCCAACTACGCTATGAAAACTTAAGAACGTTTGATTTTTACTTATTCATTTTCATACATTTATTATGGTTACAGGCGAAAAGCACATTCGTCTCCGTAAAAACCTGATTTTTTCAAAAGATTTTACATTGTTTGAGTAAATATTATGACTAATTGCTATATTATTTTACATTTCGACCAGTCCTATAGATAACTGTTAGGCACCAAAAATTGCTTTTATTTACATTAACTACATTTGTACATTTTGTCTTTAGTTTCTTGATTTTTGAGATTAAGTATTTTGTTTCCTTACTTGGTTGGGATGTTAATACAATGTACTTGTACATACTTTACAATGTACATTTTGGTGCAATCGAAATTGGATAAATAAACTGATGTGAAATAACAACTTAATTTTCTCTTTAAAATACGGTTGAACTTGTTATTATTACTTACTTTCATTTAAAACGTTGAACTATTTTTTAGGAACTTGAAAAGTTTTAATTTTGATTTGATAAAAATGACAAAATTTTCATCGCGTTTTTTAAATGATTCATTAAATATTTCCCCAATTTTTAAATAGGTAATTTCAGTGGGTATAACAATATTATATTGTTTTACCACAAACTGTATCGCTAGTTTTTACGTGAACAAATATGATTCGTTTGATTTCGTTCGTTGAGAGAGAATATTCACAGTGTAATTTCTTGAATGTTCTATTACTTTTGCAGAGTTCGTTCATGCTTTGAGAACATACAAAATTGTTGTTAAAATTACAGCAACGAAATTAGAACAAAATCAAACGAATTTTTGTTATATTCTCTTTAAGCCACTCAAAACTTTGTCACAATTAGCTGATCTTTGAAAAAGAAGTATAACAGCAAAAATGATCATAAATTTAAACAAAATTCATGAAACTACTGTGGCGTAGTGAAGACAACTTTTAGGGTTCAATACCCCCATCGCCTGAAATAATTTTCAAAACTATGTTTAGTGCACCATCTTCTGGGACAAAAACATATTCCTGAAAATTCTGCGGTACCTAAATTATAATATAAACATACACTACCGTGCAAAAGTTTGAAACCACTAGGTATTTTTCATACAAATTGACCATTTTTGGTGGACTCATTAACATATTTCGGAAACACCTGCACTCTTGATATTTTGTGCATAGTTTCAACAACGTTTCAATAGTAAATCACAGAGGTTTCATCAAAAAATATCACGTATTCAAAAATTATATCAATTTGAATTTGATCTGTTTTAATCTTCATACAAATTTGATCATTTTTCACATAGTACAAATTCAAACTTTTGCACGGTAGTGTATGTCCGTATCCATTTTTGATTTGGACAAGATGATAAATAATCACCACAAAAAAAACATTGTTACGCACTCCAAAATGCACTCATGACGTATATAGTGATTTCAACTATTGTCATTAAACGGAATCACTTGGAAGTTGCACGTTTGGTAACACGTACTCATTTATGTTATGCACAATCATCATAACATTTTGTTTTAATTATTCAATAGATACAGTATTACATAAAAGTTATAATAGTTTAAATTAACTTTTCGCATTCAATATTTTAAAAATAATTGTGTATTGTATAATTGTATACATTCTTTCTGACTTCCATTTGGAAAAAAATTCGTTGTGTATATTTTAGAAGTTGAGGTAGTTTTTCTTCATATATTATAGTAGTAAATTTGTTGAGAAAAGTTAGACTTTTCTAAAAAAAAAGGTTCTTCATAGGAAAATGAAAGCAACAAAGTATAGTTATAATAAGGCACAGCATCCGTTTGTTGAAACAATGAATTCACAACAATCGAGATTCTACAAAAATATTTTGATCCCGCCAACACACCAGCAACCAATTCTTAGGAAGGGCAATACAGCTTTGACAAATACCGATAGTTACCATTACATCAGAGGAAACACAGTTAACGCTCAAAATAATCCACAATTTTATCAAAACTCACACAAAATAAATACTGGTGGAATGGCTGTATTTAATCATAATACTTCCAGTAGACAAAGATTTGCTCCATATCCTAGCCATAAGCGTTCATACGCACATGCTCTAGTGCAACCCACAAACATATGTTACTACAATTATCAATCACAGATGCAACAACAGGCACAATCTTCAAATCATTTGAATATTATTAATCAAAGTTCAATTACAACATCTCCTACTGATTCGATCTACAGGTAAATTTGTTCATTAATATTATATTTGGGTGCGATTGAATTAAATCTGGGAATTTTTCGTTCGGCATCTGTAACATGATTTCACATTCGCATTTTCAAAAAATCACTATTCCAATGTTTCGTCGCCTCAAAAATAATACGGCCACAAATATATGGCGAATATATTTCGGATACTTGTAAATGAACCAATTTAATGACTTGCGATCTAGAATGTGGTTTCATTGAAATAGTTCATGTTACAGATGACATAACGGGCATTCCCCGCACTGAACGTCAAAAAAGTTTCAATGTTAAATTCTTGACAATAACCACTTTTTAAACTATATTCAAGTTCGAATCAGGGCCAAACGTTAAACGTTGCTATTGGATTAAACGATAGTTTGCATGATCACAATCCAATGACAGGTGTTACATTACAAATAAGCAATTTGGATACCACTATCGAAGAGAATGATCTTAAGCAATATCTTATTAATCGTTTGAAGCCAATCGCAACGGTTTTATCAATTTACTTTGAAAGCCTGTCTGTTGCTAAAATCAAATTACCAACTGATCATCAAGCTCGACAAGTTATTACGTACTTACACCGCAAAAAAATCGGCCACAAACGTATAACGGTCAGTATTTGTATTTTGCATTATTTTTCTGATTTATTCATTTAAACTTCTAATGAAAAGGTTTCGTATACACGGGAATCTTCCACGCTTGATTCATCAACGCTACGTTGTCAGGTAGCAGGCTTACTTAAGGTAAGTTTGTCGAATTTATTTATTTATTTACACCGCCAAAAACTGGCTGAATATTCGGTTTTGCAGGAAAATGACTCCAAGAGTCATGAAAAATAAGAAAGAGTCATTGTATATATATTGCAACTACAACAAATTTTGAATGGTTTCTTATTCCAATTTTCAAACAGGATATACCAAATTATAAATTATCCATGTACAAATTCCGCGAATTGTTTCAATCACGCTTCAAAACATCAATAAGCGTCATGGATTTACATGAAATGAAGGACATTTGTACGATAGTTGGAAATAAGAATGAAGAATTTATCACACTGCGCCCAGAACTCATCAATTCAATCGAAAGCAGTGAACTTATGGAATGTTTTCAGCACAGTGTTCCATATTGCACCTTGCATTTTGTGAAAATTCACCGTGGATGGGCTGAACAAGAGATTGATCCATTGCCAAATGTACAAATGACAATAAATCAAGTACGCGATGTTATGTACGCTTTGTTGAAAAATCACAAAAATGTCATCCCGATCGCAACTATTGCTCACTGTATACAAGCTGATTTGAATATTTCCCTGGAACGAAATGAAAGTGGTGTTAATTTTGAGCATTTAATCAGTTGTGTGCAAGGCATTCAAATAACATCAAACAAGTTCAGCATTAAAGTCTTAAGTTTGCTGAATGGCAATGAAATGTCACCAAAGAGTAAGGAATCATCAATATCTGATGAAGTATTGCTTCCCAACCGATATTCCAAATATGGCAACGTGTCTGATTCTTTTGCTCAAATTTCACGTGAAATTATTGAATTGATCAAACTCTCACCAAAAGCAACGTTGAAATTCAGTCGTTTTATACCAGCATATCACAATCATTTTGGAAAACAATGTCGCGTAGCTGACTATGGATACACTAAACTAATAGATCTTTTCGAGGCATTATCACAAGTTGTTCAAGTTATGGGTGAAGGTGAAAATCGTCAAATAACATTAACTCATAAAGTGCAAATGCAAAGATTTAAGACGGATTTACTGAGAATTCTGCGAACACAATCAACAAAATCAATTTTGCTTTCACACATACCCATGATCTACGAACAAGTCCAGGGTAGGAAATTCAACGTCACTGATTATGGTGTGTGTGATATTAATGATATTCTCAATACATTGGTGAACACAAATGTCGTGGTAGTTAATTCCATTCCACATATGGAAGACACCATGATATCTATACCAAAACGTAAACAATCGACAGCAGAAATGGAAAAAACAAGCCACTTTGCAGGTAACATTTATGTAATGCTTTCTACCGTTAAATTAAGTAATGCTTTTGCCCACTTCTGTGGTGCATTTGACCATTAATTCACATACAATCCCGTCCGAATCGGATGAAATTCGGGTATCATCCAACTGTACGCTACACTCGAATCACATCCATTTGTGACGGTAATAATGGGTGTGAAAACTGACTGACTGACTGAGAATTATATATGTACAACAGATTTGATCGTTTTCATCTTTGAATCAATTGAGAAATCAGAACCGTTGTGCAACATTTTCAATTGTGAATATCACTTGAAATCTTCAAACTATTCATTAGCTCTAGAAATATGCACGATATAATAATCGTTTTGTTTATAATGTCATTGGAACTGCTTCTCATTTTGTCCAAGAAAAATGCATTGAAAATGGTCCGTTCCATTTTTTTGTTTTGTTTATATATTCGTATAAAAAACTGTCGAAGCAAAAACATTTTGCTTCTCTTTGGAGATTTCCCTTTCTGTCTCCAATTCGTAAAACAGCAATTTTGACGCAGCAACCGTCACGGCATGCAAATGTGGTGTTCAAAGAATGTAACATTGACGCCGAACGATTCGTTTTGCAAATGCCACTCAGCACAGCGGCTCATTGGTGTAGGAACATTGACAAGAAATTGGCGCACATTTTTTTGAGTGAACATTCAACGAAAAAAGGCAATTTTTTTTGCGAAATAGTTGCTTTAATTGCGAGACCAAAACCCTTTTACAGGTATGTACGGCTAAGAATAGAGTTTTTGCACAAATTAAATTGTGGATTATTTTGGAAATTGTTGTGAAATTGTTGTTTCGTCATACCGGTTCACATTTTCATGTAATGACATGTTCAAAGCGGGAAAAATCGCAATATTCTAGACCGATTGCATTGATTGACGCGAATAAATCAATATAAATTAATTCGATCACAACAAGTTTTCCCATTTTTTTT